CTGCCGCAGCGGCGGAGGGCGGCCCAGAGACGCTACTCCAACTGTTGAATTGAATTTTCACCTTCCATTTCCTCCGCGCCTTGGCTGGCGGAGATGGATTTATTCGGTTTGAAATCTGCACGTCTTTCTCAGGCTTTGGGGTGATTCTGACAGGCAGCAGACTGAAAGAGACCACCCGTGACAGAAAAAATAATAATAATAAGGAGGAATTTTTAAAAAAGAAAACAGAAAAAAAAACCCTCCACAACAGACTGCACAATTAGCTATGCACACCGATGCTGGACTTTGTGACTAGAGACCACTGGGAGAAAAATCTTGAACTATGATCTTGGGCTAAGCTGTGAATCATTCCTGGAAACGTGCTTTTTTTTCCCCTCCCCTAAGACTGAGAGATCTGGGGACATCTCACGCCTAACCAAGTGGAAAGGTTTTAAAAAACAAAACAAATAAATATTCGTAAGCAAAGCAGAAGCCTTGTTTTGCAGAGCCTCGGACTCCGGCCGAAAGAGGTAGAGTAAAAGTGCTGCTGGGTTCAGCTTTGCCTTCCTCCCCCACTCTCTTTTTCTCGTTTTCTGCCCCCCCCCTCCGTGAATCCGGCTTTTTTTTTTTTTTTTTTTTGGATTTTTTTTTTCTTCCTATTGAGTGAGTCAGAGAAAGCGTTAGGAAGAAGCCGCAAGTAATGTCTGTGAAGGGAGGACCGTGAGGGGAGAGTGAATACGATTCGTTCCGCTGCTTCTGACTCATCCGGCAGATCAGAACACCTGCATTTCTGCATGTGTCATTCCCGTATACCGAGGCGCCTGGAGAAGCAGAAATAACGTGTAGATCAAGCCGTGCCTAACCTCCCCTGGGTGGTGGAGGTAGTTTCCCCGGGGTGGGCGCCCTGGCAGAACCCTGGTGGCCGCTGCTCCTCACCCTCTTTCCTCCCCAAGTCGACCAGAGACCGTGAGAGAGCCAGGCTGCAGAATGCAACACGCCAAACCTTGATGTGTTCCATCCACCCTACTCCTCCTGTGTAAAATAATAAGAAGAATAGTAATAAGAACAAGGGGGTGAAAGCCTGGACTTTATTTTCTTCAAATATTCACCACTCTTGTTCCTCGCCAAGGTTTTCCTTTCTAGATGAAAAGGACTGGGAGGCTGGGCCACTGGAAGGAGATGCTGAATAGAAAGAAAAGAGCCACTTGACAGCCCAGCCCTGTGAATGCAGAGACTGTTTCCCTTCTAGCGAGAGACAGGGCGAGTGTGTGTGCTAGGGCTGGGAGGGTGGCTTCCCCCTCCTTTCTGTCCTGCCTTCCCCCTCCCCCCTCAGATCTGCACGTCTAACCATGAGTTGCCTGTTGATTTCCTTTCGCCTGGCAAGAGCTGCAAACTGGAATTAAACTGCGTGGAGAGAAGTCCTTGTTTTCAGGAAGAGGATGGGATGGTAGTGGCGGCTCCCGGCTTGGCATAGATACACCAGAGTGTTCTACGAACCGAGGCGGAGAGAGATCTCTATATTTTCTCCTCCCAATAGGCTCTCAGCGCAAATGCTGATCAGGCTGTGGCTTTTTTGATTTTCGGGGAGAGCCTTCTCCGAGGAAGAGAGGGAGGAGCCTGGTAGGGGGAGGAAACTACAAATCGGGGCCCTAGGGTTTTTTTTTTTTTTTTTTTTTCTTTTTTTTTTTTTTTTTTTTTCAGTATGTTTCGCTGCATTTCCTCCCCTCCCTTTGGCTGCTCGGAAAGGAGAGAGAGGAAAAAAAAAAAAGAAAAGAAAAGAAAAAAGGACTTGGCTCGGAGATGCAGTCCGCTGCCGCCGCCGCTGCCTAAGCCAGCAATGCAAGATTAGATCTTTAAATGCAGCAATACACTGCCTGAAAACCGAGCATCCTGCACAACGAGCAGACATTTCTCCGTGTTCCGGGGAAGCCTCAAATATACATATGTATCTGTGACTCTTTTCTTCGTCCCTACTCATTCCCATCCATTTCATCACCGAATACGAGTAACTAAGGATTCCACTTTCCGATCTGCCTGGAGACACACCTCCCCAAGCCCTCCCCCACCCGATTCGAAGAGTATTCTGTGGGCTGCCGGAGGGAGTGGATTTTGCAGCGCCTAGCGGGAGCGAGGAAAACCCACCAATTCTTCAGCTCATTATCATCTCTCCCAGACTCTATTTCCTTCTTATCGCCAGCCTCATCACGCAAGTTTGAGCCATCTGAAGTCCAGGCGGAAGAGACAAAGCCTTGGGCTCGCCCTCAGCCGCAGGGAGCCTCCGCCTTGCTCCGAGCTGCTGCAGCTTCTCAGCGCGGCTGCTTCTCACCCAGTGCGAATGCTGTAGATCAACAGGTTCGGGCAACTTGAGCGGAATAAGGAGAGACTGACTGGTGCCGCAGCCCGGGTGCGGAGGGAAGGAAGGACTCCCCCGGTTCCAGACTGGCGCGCACCCACCAGCTCGCACCTCCAGTCCGGCTGCTCCTGCTCCCACCCCACCGGTCTGGGATGTACCTTTCCATCTGTTGTTGCTTTCTCCTGTGGGCCCCTGCCCTGACACTCAAAAACCTCAACTACTCAGTGCCAGAGGAGCAAGGGGCAGGCACGGTAATAGGCAACATAGGCAAGGATGCCCGGCTGCAACCCGGGCTTCCGCCGGCTGAGCGCGGTAGCGGCAGCGGGCGAAGCAAGTCCGGTAGCTACCGGGTGCTGGAGAACTCCGCACCGCACCTGCTGGACGTGGACGCCGACAGCGGGCTCCTCTACACCAAGCAGCGCATCGACCGTGAGTCCTTGTGCCGCCACAATGCCAAGTGCCAGCTATCCCTAGAGGTGTTCGCTAACGACAAGGAGATCTGCATGATCAAGGTAGAGATACAGGACATCAACGACAACGCTCCCTCTTTCCCCTCGGACCAGATCGAAATGGACATCTCAGAGAACGCGGCACCCGGCACCCGCTTCCCCCTTACTAGCGCACACGACCCAGACGCTGGCGAGAACGGGCTCCGCACCTATCTGCTCACCCGCGATGATCATGGCCTCTTTGCACTGGACGTCAAGTCCCGCGGCGACGGTACCAAGTTCCCTGAGCTGGTCATCCAAAAAGCGCTGGACCGCGAGCTGCAGAACCACCACACTCTGGTGCTGACAGCCCTGGATGGCGGTGAGCCGCCTCGCTCCGCCACGGTGCAGATCAATGTGAAGGTGATCGATTCCAATGATAACAGTCCAGTCTTCGAGGCTCCGTCATACTTGGTGGAACTGCCTGAGAACGCACCCTTGGGCACCGTGGTCATTGACCTGAATGCCACCGACGCTGATGAAGGTCCCAACGGGGAAGTGCTCTACTCTTTCAGCAGCTACGTGCCCGACCGCGTGCGGGAGCTCTTCTCCATTGATCCCAAAACTGGCCTGATCCGCGTTAAGGGTAATTTGGACTACGAGGAGAATGGCATGTTGGAGATCGACGTGCAGGCCAGAGACCTAGGACCTAACCCAATTCCAGCCCACTGCAAGGTCACAGTCAAGCTTATCGACCGCAACGACAACGCGCCGTCCATTGGTTTCGTCTCCGTGCGCCAGGGGGCGCTGAGCGAGGCCGCCCCGCCTGGCACAGTCATCGCCCTAGTTCGGGTCACTGACCGAGACTCTGGCAAGAATGGGCAGCTGCAGTGTCGGGTACTGGGTGGAGGAGGGACTGGCGGTGGAGGCGGCCTGGGGGGACCCGGCTCTGTCCCCTTCAAGCTTGAAGAGAACTATGACAACTTCTACACAGTGGTTACTGACCGTCCGCTGGACCGCGAGACACAGGACGAGTACAATGTGACAATCGTGGCCCGGGACGGGGGCTCTCCTCCACTCAACTCCACCAAGTCGTTCGCTGTCAAGATACTGGATGAGAATGACAACCCGCCTCGCTTCACCAAAGGGCTGTATGTTCTCCAAGTACATGAGAACAACATTCCAGGAGAATACCTCGGTTCAGTGCTCGCCCAAGATCCCGACCTGGGCCAAAATGGGACAGTGTCCTATTCCATTCTTCCCTCGCATATTGGCGACGTGTCTATCTACACCTATGTGTCCGTGAACCCCACTAACGGAGCCATATACGCCCTGCGCTCCTTTAACTATGAACAAACGAAGGCTTTTGAATTCAAGGTGTTGGCTAAGGACTCGGGGGCGCCAGCGCACTTGGAGAGTAACGCCACTGTGAGGGTGACGGTGTTAGACGTGAATGACAATGCTCCAGTGATTGTGCTCCCCACTCTACAGAACGACACAGCTGAGCTGCAGGTCCCGAGAAATGCTGGCCTGGGCTACCTGGTAAGCACCGTGCGCGCCCTGGACAGCGACTTTGGAGAGAGTGGACGCCTCACGTATGAGATTGTGGATGGGAACGACGACCACCTGTTTGAGATCGATCCATCCAGCGGCGAAATCCGCACGCTGCACCCCTTCTGGGAGGATGTGACTCCCGTGGTGGAGTTAGTAGTGAAGGTGACTGATCATGGCAAGCCCACCCTCTCCGCGGTGGCCAAACTCATCATTCGTTCAGTGAGCGGCTCTCTGCCTGAGGGAGTACCGCGAGTGAATGGTGAGCAGCGCCACTGGGACATGTCCCTGCCTCTCATAGTGACTCTGAGCACGATTTCCATCATCCTCCTAGCGGCCATGATCACCATAGCTGTCAAGTGCAAACGCGAAAACAAGGAGATTCGCACTTACAACTGCCGCATCGCCGAGTACAGCCACCCACAGCTAGGCGGGGGGAAGGGCAAGAAGAAGAAAATCAACAAAAACGATATCATGCTGGTGCAGAGCGAGGTGGAGGAGAGGAACGCCATGAACGTCATGAACGTGGTGAGCAGTCCCTCCCTGGCCACCTCCCCCATGTACTTCGACTACCAAACCCGTCTGCCCCTCAGCTCGCCCCGGTCAGAGGTGATGTATCTTAAGCCAGCCTCCAACAACCTGACTGTCCCACAGGGGCACGCAGGCTGCCACAGCAGCTTCACCGGACAAGGGACTAATTCGAGCGAGACCCCTGCCACTCGGATGTCCATAATTCAGGTAGGAGACTTTTAGGGTAAAGGGGACTTCACTTGAAAGCTGAGACCTTTGGATAGCTGAAAGCCACATGGGTGGGGTGGGTAGTAGTTAGCTGAAAGTGTTTCATACTTTTGTCCCTGTGTGCACACCATTTCCTATTCAGAACCCCTCTCGTGTAAATAGTTTTAATCGAATGCCTTACCTCTACTGCATTTTCAAAGTTTATTTTTTACAGATTTTAAAATGATAGCAACAGTCAATATTTAAACTTTATTCTATTTGTAGGACTACATTTCTTTCCGTAACAGGATTCCTATAGTAGAGCAAAACAGTTGTTCTCTTTAATGAGTTTAATTCCATTAAAAACTTTTCTATTGTTATGAAATTTATATGCCAAATTGAAGCTAACTTCTTGAGTACACAGTAGTCACCAAGTCAATACCGTGCATCAATCTGAACAAAGTTTCATCCCCTGAGAAATCAGGTTTATATGTTGAAAGTGTTTTAGGGAGACGACCCCCATTTATTCCTCAACTAAACTTTCAGCTGAAGCTTTGGAAGTGTACATCATTACTGAAGTGCTTTGTACTGGTTAGTCATAGTCATCAGGACAAATCTTTAAAAGAATTTCTTTAGTCCTAGGGCTTCCCTGTGAGTTTCCTATGGTGACTAGGGATGAACAGTCTACTCCAAAGAGTCCTAAGATCACTTTTATGCTACTGATGACAGGGGATGAAGTTGCACTGAATCTCACATTAGTTTTTTGGACTCTGTATATTTTCAAGACATTTACCTATATTCTAAACATAAAATGAAAATAAAATAATTGCCAAGAGCGTAGGCATTGACTCTTAAATGACTGTGCTGTGATGGCCTAGTCACCATCTGGTTTCCTTTATTCACTACTGAGTTGTTTCACAAAATAAATTCTTGGTTGTCATAATATTCACAACATGTGCTGTTACAAAGATCCAAAATGAGAAATGCTTGAAATTTGCAATTCAGCATAACCAAAAGTGACAACTGAGGTAGAAGTCACCTGTCCATATGATTATGTGTTGAAAAGCTTGACATAGCAAAGTTACTATTGTCCAAATAGAGGGTTGAAGCTTTATAGCCCTGTTAATAGAAATCATCCATGTCCTAACATTTAATAGAAGGAATTGCCTATGACAGTACAGTGAACCATATTCATCAAGTATGATGCTACTGACTATTGGAGTACCAAACCCTTCCTTTATAATATTCACTGTATATGAGTAATCATGTAATCATGGATTCAAAGTTTATATAAAACAGAAAAGAAATTCTTAACTATAAAAACTTGACTTCTAAGAATGTCTTCCTCTAATTGTGTGAAATTGATATTCATGATCACTAATAAGTCTACAGAGGGAATTATGATAAAATGCTGATTTATAGATATGCTGTAGTCATTATGGAATTGTAAATATTTTGTATACCTCTCCTATATTTATGCCACCGGCAAGATTGTCACAAAGGGCTAATACTTAATCATCTACTTTCAAAGTGCTGTGAGTTGAATTATCATGTAGTTTCCAGCATTAAACAAAATCATAAAATCAAGTTGGTGCTGTAAAATTCTCAGCAAGCTTGGCTTCATAGTCAGACTAGTGAGGAGCACTCCTGAATATAAATAGACAAAGCTTTGGAGAGATGTGGTACTTATACTGTGTTAACAACATTGCCCTTGAAGGTGGTCATTGGTTATGGATGATCATGGTGGCTCCTCCCTAACAGTAAAATTCAGGAAAAGAAAATCATAAATACTATCCAACCCCTCGCACAATTTAAGCAGAAAGTAAAAGTCTGTCTTGGTATTCCTTTATTTCTAAAATTTTAATCTATTCTACCAAAGTACAAAACGAATAGGTTTGAGTTCGAATTTTTCCCCAAAGTGTTTGTTTCCTATGTTATTTCGGTCTTAAAAATATCTCAACCTAAACTGCTAACAGTTTTTTTCCCTATCATGTTTTTGCAATCCTTTATAGGATGAATTATAAAATCCTAACAGATTAATCTCTTTGGAAATGTACCATATTGATATTTATTATTGAAAACCATAATAAGTTAGCTTAGGTGCTATCCCCCCCGCCCTTTTCTTTCCCTCAACAATTGTGCTGCAAACACATTATGTTCAAGTGGAGTGAAGAAAGTCTGTAGGAATGCCATAATCTTGTATCAAGCTCATTTTCCAGCATGTGCATAATTTATCCTGAAAAGTAAATATGATACTAATTTCACATATCTTTCTAAAGCTAGACTGTTTGTTATTCCAGCAAATCAAGTTGGATCAACAACTAGTAGCTCTTTTTCATCTTTATTTTCCAGTATTCTGCATGGTGTTTTGAAAGTGCATTTATAAGGTTAAACAAACTGCCATAACTTTGTTGAAATACCCTCGTGCAATAAGGTGATATGAAATATAGGAATTTTGGGACTGTAGGCTTCATATTACAGCTAAAGTAAAAACTGTTTTCAGCCTGAAAGCATTTTGATCGCCAGACCTAAGGTTTCTGCTTGCAGTTTTGTTTCATCATAGGTGTATGTACATTTATTAACAAAGATTTGTGAAAAGTGATTTTATTTTTGTTACATTTTGTGAATTTGTACAAATAAAATCAGGCCATAACATGTTTAAATAAAGATATGTGTCTAAAATATTCATAACAGCACAAGAATCATAGTACTACATTAAAGTTACAGTGTATAAGTATTTATTTTAAGATACAGAAGTCATATTGAAGGATAGGAACACAGATTTTTAGTAGGTAAGGTAGACTATGGTGTAAATGAAACACCATTTTCCATTGCAGATATTTCTATGTCTATTACTTTATGTGGTGATGTAAAATATAACAGCATAGAGTTCCTTACCAATTCTGAGGAGTAACTATTAATCCTGGCTTGCTAAGGACAAGCCCACATTTGTAAGATCAGCCTCGGGGAGGTGAAAGCAGGAGATCAGTCAATCGGAAGTTTGAAGTCATTCTTGGTTACACAGAGCCTGCTTGAGACACATGAGCCCTGCCTCAAGAAAACAAACCAAAAAAGTTAGTTAAGTCTGGGATCTTTATTAACAGGTGTTTTCAGTGAAGTCCTCACTGAAAAGAAGGTAGAATTCAGGGACATCTTTTTTGAAGATAGGGTTTCCTGGTTTTTGTCTTATTTCATTTTGTTTTAAATATCGGTGTTCTCCCACAGTACCTACTGAAGTCAGTTTTAATATATTCTTACAGAAGAAAGTGCATTAACCCAGCAAAAAAGATTTCCTAAAACAAGATTTTAAAAATGCATAGTTTTACAAACCAACACCAGCAACAACCAAAAAGAATCATGTTAATTCACTTCAGAGTCCTCATGAAAAAACAGTATTTTTTTTTTTTTTGAAATCTGTACATGGGTCTTACAACACAACTATACCAATGTAAATTAAACACAATATATTGAATATAAACAAAGTAAATAAGGATATATATGCTAAGTGTGTAGAGTCATCCCTAATATGTAAAATAGCATTGAATTGCAAATGAGTAAGTTACAATGTATAGAGTTAACTCTATTTTAGAAAAGAAAGTAGAAGTGTCTTTAATATTGATATCATCCACTGTCTGTCTTCATTCCCACTTCTCTAACAAGGTCAATTATGTAGAATCTTGTTCATATTAGTTCCCAAGGCCACACATGATCTTCCATAGTTTGTGTCCCTTTAAATTAATAATTTCAGCAACAGATGCCCAGCATAAGTATATTTTTGTATCACTTCAAATTTTGAAGATATTTGCTACAATTTTTATGCTACAAAGCTATTACCTGCTTAATCTCATGAACTCATCACTCTTCATAAAGGATTTGAGGATTCATGAGGATTATGTTGGCTCAAGCAGGAAAGTGATGCCACTGTCATATATTGTATGTCTCCTGAGATATTTTGCATTTTTCTTTTTCCCCTTAAAAATTGTTCAAAACATAGGAGGATTAATTCCTATTTTAGTTTAATGAGGATATACTATCAAACATTTTTTGTTATGCATTGAAAATACATGAAGAATTAAGCAATCTGCAATTGAACCAACCATTAGATGTTTGGCATTTCTTGTAGGAGGTTTTAAACTTTCTATAAAGTTCTAAACTTTTTGCTAGTGTTCCTATTAAAAACCTAATATTATCTAACTATATGTGCTTCTGTGGATATTTGGACTCCAATGAAAAGCTGTATGCATTTCTCTCTCTCACAACATAGGAAAAAATCATTATAAAACTAGAAGCCACAGAATTTTATTTTTAATATCAAGTGTCATAAAGTTCTTCATGAATTAAGAAGATTACAACCTATTAGTCTCCAGATTTCAACAATTTTTCCAAATGACAAGGAGGTAATTCTTGATCATCCTCACATCAGAGAGGAAAACTTGTTGGGTTTTGATTGACTGTGGAATCCATTCTTTTTTTTTAAGTTTATATCACTTGTGTGGGTGAATTATGTTATTTCAATCCATAGTATTATGAATACACTTACATGAAGGATTTGAATTGGTATTCTTAGCACCTTTTCTTATGTAAAATTGTATGTGATCAGAGAAAAAAAAGTCCTCAAATTCTTATCTCAACTTTTCAAATTTATTTAGAAAAATGTTTAATTCCTTAAAACAGAAAATATCAACTGATTATATTGTTCAGTCACTGAAAGTTCTGTCTATTAAGTGACTGTTACAAAAGTTGATGTTAATTATTCACATATTTAAATGCCTAGAAAGCTTCATTTTTGAGATGAAAATAATTACTCCCAAATTAACCCAAAACTATCATCTTAGTTAAAGAATTATACATATTTTAATGGGAGTACCTCCAATTTGGGGGGATGTGAATCTTTAGTGTTGTTTTTAAGTGCAGTTTCTTACAATATCATGAGACAGCACTATTTTCAGGTCTGAGGTGTGAAATTTCTCATTGTGAGTATTATTTATACAATATAGCGTAACAGAATTTCTTATAGAACA